CAGTCATTACGCCAACTGCTGGTCCCATTTTTGGCATTATCTTTGAAACAACTCCGTCCTTGTCAAAAAGTAGACTGCAGACTTACAGGAACGCGTGGTGCAAGCTATGAAACTAACCAGGATTCCTGCCCTTTGGACCAAATTTGTCATTCTACAGAATTTCCCTTGGCTTTGGACCTTATGAATAAAGCTATTCACAGCAGAACCTACAGAATTAAAATACCAATACTCTAGCAGGTTAGAAAACTACAGAAAAGGGGCCAGCAGGTAGCATGGTGGTTAAGGCATTGGCCTCCCACATGACTGACTATAGTTCACGTCCCAGACCTAGTGGCCTGCTTTCTTACTTTCCCTCTCTCTTTCTCTCTCTCTGGCTCTTTTTGCCTCTCTCTGGTGAGCACACGTGCCCTATGACAAATTTAAAAATAAAGAAGTTTTTTTTTTTTTTTAAGTATAGATACAAGGGACAGCAGGTAGCACAGTGGTCAAGGCGCTAAATTGCCACATGGCCAGTCACAATTCACATCTTGAACCCAGCAGCTTGAAAATCACGCCGGGTGCGTATGTGTGCATGCCCAAAATTCCAAGAGGAGAACGGAGAAGGAGCTGTGGCAGAGCAATCTCCCCCCTTTCTCACTTTCCCTCTCTCTGGTGAGCACACACATGCTATGCTTTATAAAAATAACAATAGGTACATACTTTGGTAAATTGTTTACATTAAAAAATCAAATGGTGGGACCAGCAGTTAGTGTAATGGCTATGTCGCTGGACTCCCATGTAGTTAACAGCGGTTCGAGTCCCGGACCCGGTGACTTAAACTCACGTCGGGCGCGTGTGCGTGCGTGCCCAAGATCCCGAGAGGAGAATGGAGGAGAAGGGATTGCAGCGTGGCCATCCCCCCTGGGGGGTGATTTCCTGCTTTCTGTCTCTCTGTCTCTCTCTGTCTATCTGGCGAGCGCATGCGCCCTATAGCAAAAACCTCTCAAAAAAAAAAAAAAATCAAATGGTAGGATGAAGTCGGGTTAGCTTTCTGAAATCACAAATACGGACCGCTTCCTCTGCACTGAGTGCAGAGTGTACGTGCAGGCTAGGGGTGTGAGACACCAGGCTTACACGGAACCCAGGTCTTCCCGCCTTGCAGTATAGTTGCTGATACAAGACTGCAGACATCAAAGATAGACTAATGACACATAGAAGGTAATTGTTAAGTAAGTGGCACAGATATTGTGTCTGCAGGAGTTCTCACAAGGAGCCATCACTTCTAACTGGAGTGGGAGCAAGGAGGGAGGGGTAGAGGCTTGGTCTTGCAGGTGGACCTTGAAGGGAGGAAAACTGATGGCCTTAAAGTCAGGGAAGAGAAAGAACTCAGGTCTTCAAAGGAAGGACTGAGCGGGACCAGCAGTTAGCATAATGGCTATGTCGCTGGACTCCCACGTAGTCAACCGCGGTTCAAGTCCTGGACTCTGTGGCTTAAAACTCATGCTGGGCGTGTGTGAGTGTGTGCCCAAGATCCCGAGAGGAGAATGGAGGAGAAGGGATTGCAACATGGCCATCCTCCCTGGGGGGTGATTTCTCGCTTGGCGAGCGCACACGCCCTATAGCAAAAACCTCTCCACAAAAAAAAAAAAAAAAAAAAAGGAAGTACTGAGCCAGATGTGAATTGCCTTGAAAGTTAAAACTCTCGTAGGAGGGAACCAGCAGTTGGCGTAATGGCTATGTCGCTGGACTCCCACATAGTTGACTGCGGTTCATGTCCCGGACCCGGTGGCTTAAAACTCACGCCGGGTGTGTGTGCGTGCGTGCCCAAGATCCCGAGAGGAGAATGGAGGAGAAGGGATTGCAGTGTGACCACCCCCCCTGGGGGGTGATTTCTCGCTTTCTGTCTCTATGTCTCTCTCTGTCTGTCTGGCCAGCGCACGCGCCCTATAGTGAAAATCTCTCAAAAAAAAAAAAAAAAACCCTCTTATAGGAGAGAGAAGGTATGGACCTGTGATGGGAGATGGGAACTTCAAAAAGTTCGTGGAAAATGTATATGATGAAAAGATTATGCATGGATTTCTATATATTTTGTACCAAAATAAATTTGTACTTTAATTTTATTTTTCCACAAATGTTTTGAAGTTCCTCCAGAGAATTATGAGGATTGGAAGAGATGAGCTTGACTAATGTCTTCTGTGACTGAGAGAGGACGAACTTGCCTATGGTGGGAACTCTCGTCTGCCTGGGGGAAGAGGTGGATGTGCAGGGAGGAGGGCAGGGGTGCAGTGGGAAGGGGCAGGTCTGTAAGAACTGCTGAAGCTGGACTAGCAGATGGCAGAATGGTTACCACAGGACTCCCACATAGTCAAGTCCCAGACCTAGCGGCTTAAAACTCACGCTGGGCACATGTGCCTGGAATCCCGAGAGGAGAATGGAGAAGGGATTATGGTGTGGCCATCCCCACTGGGGGGGTGAATTCTCCCTTTCTGCCTCTTTCATTCTGTCACTCTTGCAAGCACATGTGCCCTATAGCAAAAATCTCTCTTAAAAAAAAAAAGAGGGAATCAGCAGTTAGCGTAATGGCTATGTCGCTGGACTCCCACATAGTCAAGTCCCAGACCTAGCGGCTTAAAACTCACGCTGGGCACATGTGCCTGGAATCCCGAGAGGAGAATGGAGGAGAAGGGATTGCGGCGTGACCATCTCCCCTGGGGGGGGGATTTCTCGCTTTCTGTCTCTATGTCTCTGTCTGTCTGGCGAGCGCACGCGCCCTATAGCGAAAACCTCTCCAAAAAAAAAAGAAAAAGAAAAAGAAAAAAACCTGCTTAAGGAAAAACCAGCAGGCCCTAGTAACTGACTGGGTGGAAGGCAGAGGAGAAGGAAGTTCAGGAAGTCACAGGAGCGAATTCTCTCACATTAGGCAGCTGGGCAACAGGAAGAGCCTGATTTCAGAGGAGCTGAACCTGAGGCTATCCCCTTTAGGGGGGTGCTGTGAGACATGGGTCTGGGGTTTAAAAGAGAGGTAAGAGCTGAAGAGTCAGCGTATAGGTCTTCTCAGTGGACACACAGTAGTGGGTCTGGGTAAGATTTCTCTGGGGCCAGGCAGGGGCTCAGCAGCTGCAATGGACCCATGTGGAAAAGGTCCTGGGTTTGTGTCCTGGGACCGCTCCAGGTGCAGGGTGCCCGCACGTCCCCATGATCTAGGCTGGCTGAGATGGGGCAGACTGCAACATGAAGAGCCTGCGGGGGTGCCTGTCTGTCTCTCGCATGGAAGACATAAGTAAACTTAAAAAAGATTTCTCTGAGAGGAGGTACAATGAGAGAAAAAAAAGTCAAACTCAAATCATGATGACACCACACCTAGGACACGACAGAAGACAGGAGAGATGAGTGACCCGCAGTTAGCGTAATGGCTATGTCGCTGGACTCCCATGTAATCGACCACCGTTCACATCCCGGACCTGGTGGCTTAAAACTCACGATGGGCGTGTGCGCGTGTGTGTGTGTGCGTGCCCAAGATCTTGAGAGGAGAATGGAGGAGAAGGGATTGCGGCGTGGCCATCCCCCCTGGGGGGTGATTTCTCGCTTTCTATCTCTCTGTCTCTCTCTGTCTTTCTGGCAAGCGCACGCGCCCTATAGCAAAAACCTATCCAAATAAATAAGAAAGAAAGAAACGGGGGAGAGTTCAAGTAGAACAGGGTTGTCAACACTGAAAAATGCTACAAAATCAATTAGGAGAGCACAAACAGTAAATAACCTGTTGAATGAATGAATGAAACAAAGCAAGCTCCAGGGTTTAAGAATCACCTTTCCTCAATGAGATGAACGGCTAGGGCTGCATTCAGACAAGCATTTCAATGTTAGTTTTACCCCATCCTTCCGATACAAACACATTTCTTTCTCCACAAGTCATCCTGTCCACCACACAGACATCCCTCCCTGCTTCCTCCACGGTCCCCTCACGATCCTTCCCAGTTTCTGCAACTCTCAGTGTCAAAGGAACCAGAGTTTCCACTTCATTAACTCTGCCCGTGGCTCCTCTTACACAAAGGGATGTGTGGCAATGTGGTGGAAGAGGAGACTGGGTTCTAGCCCCAGCTGGACTACTAACTAGCTAGCTGTGCAACTTTGGGAACGTTGCTCAACCTCTCTGGACCTGGTCTTTTACAGAGGGCAGAAGGTAGGTCTACTGCAATCAAGACAAGTGTCCAAGGTCCCTTTGAGCTCGTAAGTCTACAATTTTATCATTCTCAGAAGGTCCTTGCAACACTCTCAGAGAAGGAAGTGAGAAAGAAGAAAGAGACCCAGGGAAATGACTGCCAGACCTCTTCCCGGGGCAAACGCCCAGACAAGACGGGTGAACCAAGAAAGTGAGAAGACGCTGCCCGGGCCTCCCGGATTACCAGCGAACGGATCCCATTCCCAAGGCTGGGAACGATCCCAACAAAACCGAGGGAGTCTCTTAACCTCGCACCCCATCTTTCTTGGATTCCCAGACGGCCGGGAGGCTCGAAAAAGCCGTGCGAGAAATATAAAGATTTCCTTCCCAGAGTCCTGCGCTGCTTCTGCAAGTCGGATTCCGGCAAACCCGATCTGCAGCCGGATAATGACACAGAGAGTCTTTGGAAGGAGAGACTGTTCTCGCCTCGCTCGCTCGAGTTCTGGGGACGCCAGGCCGTCCGCGCCGGGCCCCGACGGGTCGACGTCCGACCCCGACCCGGACCGCCAGGCCGGAGCGCCCTGGCCCCGGGCCCTCCTCCTGCCGCTGGCCCCGCTGCGGTCTACAAACATTTCCTGCCCCCACCCCCACCAAGAGCTTCCCAGTTGGAGCGAGTTGGTCTCGCAGCCCGGTGAGCGCTCGCGGTTGCCCCAACTCAGCTCCCCCGGCCACGCAGCACTGGGGGGAGGGGGCCGTCTGGTCCCGGAGCAGCCATCCGGAGGTCGCTCGGGAAGACCAGGGCTCGGGAAAGGAGGGGCAACTGGCGGGGCGCCCGAGTCCCTGCTCCCTTCTCCGTCGTTACCTGCTCGCTTGCGGGGGTGCCCCGGGGCGGCCGGCCTCTCCCGGCGCTGTCTCCCCACGCAGTTGCCCATGCTGGCTCCTCAGCCGGTCCCCATACACCACAGGCGGCGGAGTGGTCGGCTGCTCCGCGCTTCTGCCCCGGACGGTGGCGTCCCGTGTCAACGGCTCCTGCCGCTCGGCATTGGGCGCTTCCCGATCTCCCCCCGGGAGCGCGCTCTGCCCCGGCGCCGGCTTCGCCACAAACTTTGCGGGCCCGAGGAGAGAGGGAGGCCGACTCCCCAGCACAGTCCCAGGTGGCCGGGCCAGGGGGGCCCGCGACGGTGCCCGGCCGGAGACCAGCCCCGCTGGAGGGGCGGAG